AGGATGGAAGGAACACGCCCTCTCTTCTCACTCACATACTCACACATTCACATCATCATCGCAGAGAGAGCGCGTTTAACGGGCGCTTGCCTGGGGAACATTCGGCGGCGCGTTTCGAACCAGGGGGTGGCCCCCCCCAACACTCGGCGCCGTCGATCAAAACCAGCGGGACTCCCCTCCCCCCCCCCCCATCCCGAACCCCCCTCCCTCTCAAACGGGGGGGGGTTCAACCTCCCCCCCCTTCCAGGGAGGGGAGGTTCAAACCCCCCCCCCTCCCATCGGCGCCGGCGCCGGCGCTGGCGGCCGTTACCAGCGCCCACGGCTGTGACGCAGCGGCGGTGACCAGGGACAGCCCAAAGGGGGGGGGGTTTGAACAACCCCCCCCCTCTCCGTGGCGCCAGGGGGGAAGGGGGTTTCAACCCCCCCTTCGCGCGGGCGCCGGCGCTGGCGGCGGCCAGCAACGCCGGCGCTGGCGCCGGCGACGGCGGGGACGCAGCGACACTGACCACTACTACGACCACCACCACCACCACCACCAACAGCACCACGCAACCACCACCACCACAGCTACCATCACCACCACAACCACCACCACAACTCACCACCACCACCACCACCACAAAAACCCACCACCACTACCATCACCATCACAATCTACCACACCACCACCACCACCGCCACAACCACCACCACTACCGCCAGCACAACCCACCACCACCACAACAAACCACCAAACCACCACCACCACCGCCACCACCACCACCACCAGCACCACCACCACAACTCACCATCACCACCACCAGCACAAAAAATCCACCACCATTACCACTACCACCACCACAATCTACCACAACACCACCACCACCGCCACAACCACCACCGCTACCCGCAGAACAACCCACCACCACCACCACCACCACCACAAAAATCACACCACCACCACCACCGCCACCACACCACACCAGCACCACCTCCACAAACCACGCCACAATCACCAACCACCACCACAAACCCCCACCACACCACCACCAAACCACCACCGCCACTACAACCCACCACCACCCACCACAAACCACCACCAGACCACCACCACCAACCACCACCACCGGCACCACCACCACCGCCACAAACCACCACCACCACAACAAACCACCATACCACCACCACCACAACCACCACCACCGCCACCACCACCACCACCACCACAACCCACCACCACCACCGTCGTCCTCGTCGACGCTCCCCGCCACCGCCGCCCGCCGCCGCAGGCACAGGCGCCCGCCCAGAAATGGAAATCGTCGCCCCCGCCGCCGTCGCCAGCCGCCGCCCGACACAAGCGCCAGCCCCCGTCGCCAGCCGACACAAACGCCGGCCCGAGGAGAGGGGAAGAAGGGGGGGGGTTCGAACCCCCCACCCCTTCGTCACGGGAGGGAGGGGGGGGGTTCGAAACCCACCCGCCCCCCGTCACGGGAAAGGGGCTGGGGGCTTTCGACCCCCCCCCATCAAGGGGGGGGGATCGGTCCCCCCCCCACCCAAGTGACCACAGAACACGCTCTTTCTCATCGCAGTATCAACGCAGCATCACTTACACACCCACTCACACTCACTCGACCACTTCGACCACTTTCATTCATTCCCCACATCCGAAATATGGTTCGTGTTTTCTATGGACACCCCGCGCAGGAACAATAACACCCTTCCATTCACACTCACGCGTTCACACATTTACCTCATCATCATCATCATCACCACCACCACCACCTCCACCGCATCATCATCATTTACACAACCGCACACACTACACTCTCATTCTCCAACTTACCCACGGAACCACCACTATTCATCATCATCATCGTCATCATCATCACGATTAACACAACACCATCGAAAAACGCCGTCATTCATTCTGACACACATTTACTCACACACTCACACATTCACACACTCATTTTGACGAGGTCTCAAGCGGGATTCTCGGATGTGAGACATCATCGTCGGCATCGTCATTCTCACACACATTTACTTACACACTCACACATTCATTTTGACGACCTCTCAGGCGGGATCCCTGCTGTGAATGAGCAGCATCACCATCACCATTGTCATCAGTGTCCACACCCACACTTGAGAAAATATCGGGCGGGACTCTCGTCTACGAGTGTGTTACGAGGAAGTCTCAGGCGGGAGCCCCCTCCCTATGGGGCCTGCCGCTTATGTTTTTAATCCGAGCGGGTCATCGAAATCCTGGAACCGTCGTCACTTTTGGGCCCCTGAAACCTGACTGTGGAAGAAGTATCACATGGAAACCTCGTATGTAAGAGGTCTCAGGCGGGAGCCCTCTCCCTATAGGGCCCGCCACTCATATTTTTAATCCGAGCGGGTACTTTAAACCCCTGAGGCGCAACTGTCAGACGGGAGCCTGGTCAGTGAGTGAATTGCGAGGACGTCTCAGGCGGGAGCCTCTCCCTACGAGGCCCGCCGCTTATGTTTTGTTTAATGCGGGTGGGCCATCGGAATCCTGGAACTGTCGTCACTTTTGGGCCCCTGAAGCCTGGATGTGGAAAAATATAAGGCGGGAGCCTCGTCTATGAGTGAATTACGAGGAAATCTCAGGCGGGAGCCCTTTCCTTACGGGGCCCGCCACTCATGTTTTAATCTGAGCGGGTCATCGGGATCCTGGAGCTGTCGTCACTTTTTGGCCCCTGAGGCTTGGATGAACTGAATCTGCGAATGAACTGCGAGGAGGTCTCAGGCGGGAGCCCCCTCCCTATGGGGCCCGCCGCTCATGTTTCGAATCCGGGCGGGTCATCGGGATCCTGGAGCTGTCGTCACCTGTGGGCCCCTGAAGCCTGAATATGGAGGACGTATCAGGCGGGAGCCTCGTATGTGAGTGAATCGCGAAGAAATCTCAAGCGGGAGACCCCTCCCTACGGGGCCCGCACCTCACGTGTTTTCTCCGACTCGTCCTCCGGCGCGCGCTTCCTCTGGGTTTCCTTCCGGCACGTAGCCGCTGGAACGCACGTCGTGCGTTTCCTCTAGGTCGTGTTCCGCGCGAGGAGAAGGAAGAGGAGGAGGAGGACGGGGAGGAGGATGGGTGACGAGAAAGAGGAGGAAGAGGAGGAGGCAGAGGGGGACCAGGACGATGATGACGATGATGACGATGATGATGATGATGATGATGATGATGATGATGATGATGATGATGAGGAGGAGGAGGAGGAGGAGGAGGAGGAGGAGGAGGGAGGAGGAGGAAGAGGAATGCCCTAGGAGGCCCCATGAGGTCCCGGCCCAGAAGGCTCCAGGAGGCCCCAAGAGGCCCCAGGAGGCCCCATGAGGAGACAGGAGGCCAAAGGAGAAGGCAGGAGGAGAAGGCAGGAGAAGGAGGAGGAGGAGGAAGATGGAGACGACGAGGAGGAGGAGGAGGAGGAGGAGGAGGAAAGGGAGGAGGAGGAGAAGAAGGAGGGAGAGGGAGAGGAGGAGGAGGAGGAGGGAGAGGGGAGGACGAGGAGGAGGAGGAGGAGGAGGAGGAGGAGGAGGAGGAGGAGGGAGAGGGAGAGGAAAAGGAGGAGGGAAAGAAGGAGGAGGAGGGTGGTGGGAGGAGGCAAGGAGGAGGAGGAGGAGGAGGAGGAGGAGGAGGAGGAGGAGGAGGAGGAGGAGAAGGAGGCAGGGGTTGAGGCACGAGGAGGAGCAGGCAGGAGGAGACGGAGGAGGCAGGAGTAGGTGGGGAAAGGGAGGGGGCAGGATGAAATCCCCAGGCAATTCAAACACATTCTCATGCGGGGTCCTACCGTCGGAGTAAGTCTGCTTCGAATGGAAAAAACCGTGCGTTCTGCTGTGCCCCCCCAGAAAACATCTGCATTTCGGTATTGCAGTGGCGGCAGATGTGGCATTTGGTGTTGCTTTCTCTGCTTGTCGAGCGGAGGAGGAGGAGGAGGAGGAGGGAGAGGAGGAGGAGGAGGAGGAGGAGGAGGAGGAAGAAGAGGAGGGAGAGGGAGATGAGGAAGATGGAGACGAGGAGGAGGAGGAGGAGGAGGGTGCATGCCATTCGAAGCGGTGCCCCGACGGGGGCGCCGATCAGCATGCGCCGCTCCGCGCCCCTCGCGGAGTCGATGCAACGCTGCACGATCCTGGGCGCGGCAAGGTTTGCTCCGCGGGCCAGCGCGGGTTTCCCTCAACCTCCTCCTCGTCCTCCTCCTCGTCGTCCTCCTCCTCCTCCTCAGCATCATCATCATCATCATCATCATCATCATCATCATCATCATCATCATCATCATCATAATTGTCATCATCATCACCACCATCATCATCAGAAGCCGCAGCAGCATCATCATCGCCGTCATCGCCATCATCATCATCATCATCATCATCATCATCATCATCATCATCATCATCATCATCATCATCATCATCATCATCATCATCATCATTATCATTATCATCATCATCATCATCATCATCATCATCATCATCATCATCAACAACATCATCCTCAACAACATCAGCATCACCGTCGTCACCATTCATCATCATCATCATCATCATCAGCATCATCATCATTATCCTCCTCCTCCTCCACCTCCTCATCCTCCTACTCATTACCCTCCCCCTCTTCCTCCTCCTCCTCCTAGTCCGTATCCTCCTCCTCATCCTCCTCCTCCTTCTCCTCCTCCTCCTCCTCCTCCCCTTCCGCCTCCTCCTCCTCCTACTCGTTCCCCTCCTCCTCCTCCTCCGAACCCCATGCTCCTGCTCGTCCTTGGCCTCGCCCTCTTCCTCCTCCTCCTGCTCCTGAATCCTAATTGCTGATGGCTGCAAGGTTCGTCGAACGTAGCCTCCTCCTCCTCCTCCTCCTCCTCCTCCTCCTCCTCCTCCTCCTCCTCTACCTCCTCCTCCTCCTCTACCTCCTCCTCCTCTACCTCCTATTCCTCCTCCTCCTCCTCCTGAAGAAAAAGCCGTGGCCACAACAAAATTCGGACCGGACCAAATCGGGGATCTCTGATACCTGGGGGTTCTAGAGGATGTTCAAGGCGTCGCGGCGGTTCCAGGACGCTGCGGAGCGCTCTGAGGGCTTCCCGGAGCGCTCTGGAACGACTCATCCTGGCCCCTGAGCCCGCCGCCCGAAACCTCCTCTGTGAGCACGGCGTTGTCGGGGCGCAGAGGGGGAAAAGGCTTCTTGGGAGGAGGCTCCTTCTTAGAAGGCGTGGGCCTTACATCTAAAGACAAGGCCCGCGCCTTCTAAGATGCTCGGGTTGCTTCTAAGGAGCCTTGCCCCCTCCTCCTACCCCCCTCGGCGCGTGGTTGCATAACACGCCGCCGTGGAAAATCCATCATCGCGATAATTTTGAAGAAACGCCAAGCACTCGGGCAAAACAAAGAGGAAGGACAAGCTGACGGGCAACCACCTGTAAGCTGGCAATGCTATGGACGCCCGAAATTGTCACGAACAAAAATCAGTGGCACGACTTCCAACAGCATATGTTCTCAAAGACCGAACGCGGCCGCTGTTGGGCAGGCGGCCTCCTGCCTCGACTGGACAAGAGTCCACGGCGACGCTGGAAGCGAACCCTGTCCAAAAAGGACAGGAACTGCTGGCCGTCTTCGTACCCTCAAGTCGGGCGTGTCCCTCTACAGGGGGATTTTCGACGAAAAATAAAGAATATCCCAGAAATAATCAAGCAATAGTCTAAAAATAGTATGGGGACTATTTTTTAAAGTATGTTTTAACCCTTTGGGGGTGTTTTGGGTATGTTCAAAGTTTCGCCCCAAATCCCCCTGTAGGGGGACACGCCCGACTTAATCGAACCCCTTCATTCCGTACCCACTCCGATCGCTTCGAGTTGGTACTCATCCTCCCGCTGAAGCCAGCGCAGAGGGGCTGCCCCAGCGCATGCCTCTGTATCGCCTAAAAAGGCCATGGAATAGAACTGGTGTCCGTCTTGGTACCCCCCCTCTTCCCGTACACACCACGATCGTACCGAATGGGTACGCTTCCCTTCCTAGATCAGGTCCCCCGAAAACCCCCAGATTCTCTCCGCGCCACTCTGAAGCCGACGACAGTGTCGTCGTCGTCGTCGTCGTCGTCCGTGTCGTCGTCGTCGTCGTCGTCGTCGTCGTCGTCGTCGTCGTCGTCGTGATGGTCGTGGTCGTCATGGTCGTCATGGTCGTCGTGGTCGTCGTGGTCGTCGTGGTCGTCGTGGTCGTCGTGGTCGTCTTGATGGTCGTGGTCGTCATGGTCGTCATGGTCGTCGTGGTCGTCGTGGTCGTCGTGGTCGTCGTGGTCGTCGTGGTCGTCGTGGTCGTCATGGTCGTCGTGGTCGTCGCGGTCGTCGTGGTCGTCGTGGTCGTCGTGGTCGTCGTGGTCGTCGTGGTCGTCGTGGTCGTCGTGGTCGTCGTGGTCGTCGTGGTCGTGGTCGTGGTCGTCGTCGCTGTCGTCGTCAGTGCAGCGTGCTCCGCGAGCCGCCTGGGCCTCCTCACGGTGAAGCAGGGGCCCCCCTGGGCGCCAGGGCCACGGCTGGCAACACCCGATCGCAGCAGGACGCGCAGACGGCGGCGGAGGGACACCCGCGCCACGCTGAAGTCGGGCGTGTCCCTCTACAGGAATAAAGGGAAACTGGGACACACAAATAAATACACACAAATAAAAGGATTCCCCATATTTTCCCATATGTTCGGGTTTTTTGTCTTCCCCACCACTTCCCATATTTTCCTGGGGATCGACGATTAATTGTGTCTGTGTGTTTCTTTCCCTCCTGAGAAGAACATTCGAAAATAGTAAAACATAATGTTGGGACGATGTTTCGAAAATGTTGATTTCTCTTGTGTTGAATGTATTTGGCTATTGACAATTTTCCTCCAACATCCGCCTGTAGGGGGGCATGCCCGGTCTAGCCCCACGGACGGGGAACGTCATCCAGGGGGGGCGAAAGGGCAGGATAGCACAGGCCAGGGCAGAGACTCAGCTTACGCAGCTGGATTTCCGGGCGCCTCCTGGCGCCTGGAGGCGCCCATGTATCGAGGAAGGGGCCCGCCATCGAGCTGGATTGTGTCCTGACTATGGGAACAAAAAGTGGCATGAACATAAAAACTCGGAGGTCCGCGCGGATTTCTCGGGTCCACGCTGGACCCCCCTGGCGGCGCCGCCGACGCCGCCCCTGGCGCGCTCCGCGCGCCAGGGCAGGGGGTACAGCGCGGACCCGAGGAATCCGCGCGGACCTCCGAGTTTTTATGTTTATGCCACCTTTTGTTCCCCCAGTCAGGACGCAGTCCAGCCCGTTGGCGGGCCCATGAAGAGGCGCCGTGAAATCTGGGGAAGTACACCCTGCGAAATGCTTAAGAAATCATGGGCTAAGAAATTCATAGTCTCAGAACTTGAATAAAAACCCAGCATTTCCATCAAAAGCGTAAGGTTTACATTGAAACGTTACGAAGAATCGAGACTCTGGCCGAAAACTTAAGTTTTCTTAAGCATCGCCTAAGGTGTATCATGGCCCTCGCCATGATAGCCCCCCCCCTAGTCTCGGGTCGGGCGAAAGGGGGGGATAGCAAAGGGGGGGTTTGAGAATCAGCTCACGCAGCTGATTTTCCCGGCGCCTCCCGGCGCCGCAGGCGGCCACGTATCGAGGAATGGGCCCCTCGGTGAGGCCGAAACCAGCTGCATGCAACAAATTTCGTAAACCCCCCTTTCCCTAATCCCCCCCTGTCGCCCGGCCCGATAGTCATCACCCCCTCTTTGCCGCCCCCGGGGCCCGACGGCTTCTCTAAAAATGCTTCTGGGAAGCCCGGGGCCCGCTCCGGATGGTGGAGCGGCCCTGTTTCGAGCGGGCCTTTCTGGAAGCCTCGGAGGGCGGCTCGAGATGCTCCTGGGAGCGGCCCTTTTTAGAGCGGGCCTTTCTGGAAGCCTCGGAGGGCGGCTCGAAATGCTCCTGGGAGCGGCCCTTTTTGGAAGCCTTCGGAGCCCTGGATCTTTGTGGGCCCCGGAAACGGCAGGGCCGTTTTTTCACCGTGTCCAAAAAAATGCCCCTTGAAAATAGAAACAGCCAAAAAAACGCGACCAACAACGGCAACGAAAACGGCTGCAGGATTGGAACCGGAGCCGGAACCGGACAAAAAACGGCAACGGAACGGGTGGAAAAACGGCGTCGGAACCGGCAACAGAAACGGCAAAACGGAACCGGTAAAAAAACAGCCCTGTCGTTTCCAGGGCCCACTAAGCCCCGGATTGCTTCCCTGATGGTCCGCTACCGAAAATTTCCGGTAGCGCTCCGCAGAGATCGGTCGCTACCGAAATACCGAAATGCAGCGCCCAATACCGGTATCAGAGCGTTCCGAAACCCGCTACTTGAACGCCCTCGAACGAAGATCCGGTCGCTACCGAAATTCGGGGTGCGTCGAAATCGCTACCGAAAATTTCCGGTACCAGACCATCTGGGTGTCGTTTCCAGGGCCCACTAAGCCCCGGATTGCTTCCCGACGGCCCCGGGGCCGTGCGAGAGCCCCCCGAGGTAGGGCGACGAGATCTATGCATATCCACTGCTCCTGGCCAGGCCAATCCTGGGCCCAGGAGCGGTGTATACGCCCTCCTGGCCTGGCCAGGGAGGCATATACACAGCTCCTGGGCCCAGGATGGGCCTGGCCAGGAGCAGTGGATATGCATAGATCTCGTCGCCCTACGAGGCCGAGCAGTCGGGCCACGCCTCAAAGGTCAGCTCCTCGCGGCCCACGGGGGGGGGGGGGCCTGGGCAGTCGTATGCTCGCCGCGGCGGCGAACAGCCCCCTCTGTGGGGCACCCGGACGTGGTGTGGGCGTGGAGGAGGAGGAGGGAGGAGGAAGGAGGGGAGGGAGGAGGAGGAGGAGGAGGAGGAGGAGGAAGGAGGAGGAGGAGGAGGAGGAGGAGAGAGGTATGTGCGGAGGAGGAGGAGGAGGAGGAAGGGGGGGAGGGAGGAGGAGGAGGGAGGAGGAGGAGGAGGGAGGAGGAGGAGGAAAGGGGGAGGAGAGGAGGGGCGAGGGGTAGGGGAGGAGAGAGGAGGGGGAGGGGAGGAGGAGGAGGAGGAGGAGGAGGAGGAGAAGAGGAGAGGGGGAGGAGGAGGAAGAGGAGGAGGATGAGGAGGAGGAGGAGGGCAGGAGGAGGAGGAGGAGGAGGAAGAGGATGGAGGAGGAGGAGGGAGGGGAGGAAGGGGGTAGGAGGAGGAGGCGGAGGGGGAGGAGGGGGAGAGGGAGGAGGAGGAGGTCGGGCAAGTCCCCCTACAGGCTGCTGTTGGGCGATGTTTTCTTGAAGTAAAAACATATGAACACAAAGACACCCAAGTTTAGAATTAAGTCGGGCGTCCCCCTCCAGGGGAATTTTAGACGACGCATGAAAATACGGAACAAAACTTGAAGAATGGTTTAAAAGACAAGCTGTATATTCTATTAGTGTTGAATATTCCTCCTGTAGAGGGACACGCCCGACTTAACACTGGTGGGGGAGGTTGGTGGCGAGCCCGAAGAAATGAGAGGTGGCGGGCCTTCTCAGAAGGCTTGGGAGTCCCCCGGACTTCTGAGAACTTTTCTAAGCCGTCCCTGCAGACAAAACAAAGCTCTCAGAAGGCGCGAGGGCTTCTGAGACCGCCGCCTTCTGAGAAGGCCTTCTCCTTCTGACTTTCCCCACTCGCCCGCCCGCCGCCATCAAAACAAATTCAAACATAGTTTAAACATATCCTCCCCAGACTATGTTTGACTAATTTTGGATATTCGTCCTCTAAAGGGATACGGCCGACTTAACACTGGTGGGGGAGGGCTCAGGAGGGGGAGGGCTCAGATGGAGGACGAGGAGGAGGAGGAGGAGGAGGAGGAGGAGGAGGAGGAGGAGGAGGAGGAGGGACGAGGAGGAGGAGGAGGAGGAGAAGAAGGATGGGGGGGAGGATGGGGGAGGGGAGGGCTTCATATGGGGAAGAGGAGGAGGAGGAGGTGGAGGGAGGAGGATGAGTGGGAGGGGAGGAGGAGGAGGAAGGAGGAGGAGGAAAGGAGGAGGAGGAGAAGGAGGAGGAGGAGGAGGAGGAAGGAGGGGGGAGGAGGGGAGGAGGAGGAAGGAGGAGGAGAGAGGGGAGGAGGGAGGTGGAGGAGGAGAGGAGGAGGAGGAGGAGGGAGAAGGAGGAGGAGGACGAGGAGGGATGAGGAGGAGGAGGAGGAGGATGGAGGGAGGAGGAGGATGAGGAGGAGGAGGAGGGAGGAGGAGGAGGAGGAGGGAGGAGGGAGGAGGAGGAGGGAGGATGGGGGGGGGGGTCGATGCGATGCGTTCCCTCACCGTGGCCCCTGACCCGCGCCCGAGGGGCCGCCCGCACGCCCCTGGCCTGCCGGGGAGCGGAGGGGAGGAACGCAGGGCTGGGCCCAAACCTAAGTCGGGCGCGTCCCCCCACGGGGGGATTTTCGACGAGAAATATCTTCCCATATCTTCTGGGTTTCTGTCTCCCCCCCCACTTCCCCTGTTTTCCCACATCTCCTGGGAATCGACGACTGATTGTGTCTGTGCGTTTTTTCTCCCTCCTGAGAGAGTGAGGCTCACGCTGAAGGAGCGCGGGTACAGGGGGATTTTCGACGAAAAAAAAAACATACCCCCGAAAATACACCAAAATTGTCAAAGATGCTGAAAACATAGTCCCCGTGCTATGTTTGGACTATTTTTGAATATCCCCCCCTGTAGAAGGACAGGCCCGACTTAACCCTAAACGTTGTTTTTCGTGTTGTTTTCGTGTTGTTGTTCGGGTTGCTCTGCCAGCGTTCCTGCACCTCCCTGCCAAAGCAAAGAACAAAACACAGCCCGAGTCCAGCAAAGCAGCGTTCAGGTCCAGCCCTGGAGGAAGGGGTTGGGCCTCTGCTGGCTGGCGCAGGTCCATGCAGAGACGGGCCAGTCAGGCTCTGCAGGATCCTGCAAGATCCAACAAGATCCTGCGCGCCAGCCCGGGGCGATGCAGCCCTGGCCCTGCAGGATCCTGAGAGATCCCGCGCTCAGGCTGATCCCCGTCCGCATGGACCCCCATTTCTTTACGGCTCGAGAGAAAGTCGGGAGCGGCCAAGAGGGGGGTGTCCAAGAGGGGGGGGGTGCAAATCATGACCGGCGGCATGTGCGCGGCCCAGCGGGGGGGCCAGGGACGCAATGAAATAAGAAGAGGCGCCATAAAATCTGAGGAAATATCATGGCCCCCGCCATGATATCCACCCCCCCTAGTCATCACCCCCCGCTTTGCCGCCCCCGAGAAAGGTTGGGGGCGGAAAGATACGGATACGTGTTGTCCCCGGACCTCTCTTGGGGTGCGTTCTGACCAGAATTTCGAGGCGAATCCAGCGGTGACAACGAGGATTCCCCAGGAGGACCAGGAAAGGCCGAAAACGAAGGGGACAACACGTATCCGTATCTTTTTTTCTCCCCCGAAAAGGGGGCTCCTGCACCCGTGCCGGTGAGAAGCAACGTCGACGACGCTGGCGGCCACCGCCTGGAAGACGAAGGAGTGACACTCCGCGGGGAGCGCCTGGCGGGCCGGCCCGGCGCGCCCGGGGGCGGGGCCACGAGCGTGCCCTCGCTGCCGCCCAGAGAGCAAGGGGCGGCGGGATTGAAGGGGAACTGGAACACACAAATAAATACACACAAATAAAAATACCCCCATATTTTCCCATATTTTCTGGGTTTTCGTCTTCCCCACCACTTCCCATATTTTCCCATATTTTCCTGGGAATCGAGGATTAATTGTGTCTGTGTGTTTTTTTCCCTCCTGATGGTCGGGCGGGTGGTAATGAAAGGTGACCTAAATGGGGGGGCTCAAGAGCGGGGCCTCTTCCTCCTCTCGGGTCGGGCGAAAGGGGGGGATAGCAGGGGGGGGGGGGGTGAGAATCAGCTCACGCAGCTGGTTTTCCCGGCGCCTCCCGGCGCCGGAGGCGGCTATGTATTCGAGGAATGGGCCCCTCGGTGAGGCCGAAACCAGCTGCATGCAGCAAATTTCGTAATCCCCCCTTTCCCAGTCCCTCCCTTTCGTCCGGCCCGATCCTCCTCCTCCTCCTCCTCCTCCTCAGCCAGGGTGGCCTCCCGGGGGCGCGATGGCCCCTTTTGAAAAGGCCCCTTTCTCCCCCCCCCCTTTAGGTCTCGCTCCCCGTTGCCATCCGCCTGGGTGGCGGCGAGTTTTAGGTCGGGCATGTCCTCCTACTGGGCGACAGTCGAAACACACACCAAATATCATCAAAACATTGCCAAACATTGTCGAAACATCGTCCCAAGGCTATGTTTTGACTACTTTTGAAAATTTCTCCTATAGTAGTAGAGGGACACGGCCGACGTAAGCGAGGTGGCCCGCACTCCTGGCGGGGGGGACCCCCGGCCTCTGCCTCTGCGACCGCGACTGGGCGGAGTGTCCGGCTTGAGCTGCCCGCCCCCAGCCGCTGGGCAGGTCGGCACCTCGGGGCATCGGCATGGCTACAGTGGAGGCCCGACCACAAGACACCCAACCCTGAGACCCACAAATCATTCCACATCGACCAGTTCTGGGTCGCCCGCAGCGTTCAATGTTGAACGCCGCTCGCCGCTGGTCGACACGACACCAACCTACCGTTGTCCACAAGAAACCTTCCACAAGGAACCCAACACTGAGACCCCAGGACGTCCATTGATTTTTGGTGGGGGAATCACGCCTTCCACAGCAAAACCATCGAAGCCCAAGACACCCAGGGCACCCTGGAGGCAAGCAGGGTGTCTCTTGGCATGGGCCCCCACTGTAAACAGAAACTTTCGACGGTCCGCGCGGATTTCTTGGATCTGCGCTGGGCTCCCCTCCCTGGCGCGCGGAGCGCGCCAGGGGCGGCGCCGCCAGAGGGGCCCAGCGCGGATCCAAGAAATCCGCGCGGAGCGCCAAAAGCTTATGTTGATGTGTGTTTTTCTTTGGAGAGCCGTACGTGCTGCTGTGCCCCCCCAGATGACATCTGCATTTCGGTATTGCAGTGGCGGCAGAGGACATGGCGACCCGAGAACATCACGATCTGGGCCCGCCATGAGAGAATCCAAATGACATTGGTCCAGCCTGGATCTCAGTAGACTCTGAGGCACGTGTGATGTCATTCAGCAGCGACCTCACAAGGGACCACCTGGATTCGTTCTCCCGGAACTGTGCCGGCGTGCGGGAAGGACGCACCGCAACCGACCGTACCTGCTTCCGCATGCTGCAAGCGCATTGCAGTACTGTCGCCTGACGGCTGGGAAGGGTCCCAGACGAGGGGTATCCCACAATTCATCCCGAGCGTCGACGCAGCCGCAGAGTCTCATCCTCTGCCCCCGAATGGGGCAAACAGGGTCGAGGGAATACTGGGACTCTGCGCTGCAACTTTTCGGGCGGCGCGCCCTGGCGGACCTGCTGAGAGGGCTCGGAAGTCCCCTGGCCTTCTGAGAAGCTGTCTGGGCCTTCCCTGGATGTACAGAAAACTTCTCAGAAGGCGCGAGGGCTTCTGAGACGTCCTTACCCTTCTCACCTCCCCCCCTTGCTCGTCGCCGAAGTCTGTCGCTGAGGAAGGGGTGGACGGGAGACCGTCAGGGTGGAGGGCAGGGGGAGGAGAGGGGAGGGAAGGAGGGGAGGGGCCTCGAGGTTCTGGCGGCTCCCAGCCCTCCCCTCGGCCAAGCCTCTTCGCAATCTCTCCGCGGACGAGGTCGGCCAGCTGGATGGGAGAGGAAGAATGCGCTGTGCCCCCCCCCCTCGTCTCTCCCTCCGCTCCCCCTCCCTACGTTTCCCGCCACCCACCCCTCGCCTCCATCCCTCCCTTCGCTTCACCTTTGCACCCCCCTCTCTGCACGGTTTCCCCCGGGGCCGTAGGCGACCCGAGGAGGAAGAAGAGGAGGAGGATGTGAAGGAGGAGGAGGAAGAGGAGGAGGAGGAGGAGGAGGAGGAGGAGGGGGAGGAGGAGGAGGAGGAGGAGGAGGAGGGGGAGGAGAAGGAGGAAGAGGAGGAGGAGGAGGAGGAGGAGGAGCAGGAAGACAGAGGAGGAGGGGTCGCCTAAGCTCTTCGGAGAAACCCTCCACCCCTCTCCTCTCTTGATCGCCCCTCTCCCCCTCGCCTTCTTCTTCTCTCTCTCTCTATCCCTCTCCCCTCTCTTCCGCTCCTCCTCCCTGCCCCTCCGACCCTCCGCCTTCCACTACTCCCTGCCCCTGCACCCAGGTCGGGCATGTCCTCCTCCAGGCGGAGGTTGGACGAAACACAAAACACACCCAACAACTATTCAAACCATAATCAGAACTGGCCCAGAAATCGTCCCCAGACTATTGTTTGACTATTTTCAGAAATTCCTCCTGTAGAGGTGCGGGACGGGAACATGACCACAACCACTGCTTCTTGTTTGCGCCGCCTTCCAGCCGGCCGAAACAGAAGCAGTGGTTGTGGTCATTTCCCCGGCGCCAGGCTTCACGAGAATGACCACAACCACTGCGTTGTGTCTGCTGGCCGGAAGGCGGCAACAAAAGAAAACCAGTGGCTGTGGTCGCTTTCGCGTCCCGTAGAGGGACACGCCTGACTGAACCCTACACCCTGCGAAATGCTTAAGAAATCATGGCTTAAGAAACTCAGAGTCTCAGAACTTTAAGAAAAACCCAACATGTCTATTCAAATCTTAGGATGTACATTGAAGCATTAAGAATAATCGAGACTCTGGCCGAAAACGTAAGTTTTCTTAAGCATCGCCTAAGGTGTATATTCGTATCGGCGTCTGAGAAGAGTGCGGTATGTCCGGCCGCGCGCGCCCGCTCGCAAAAACGCTTTCGGCCTGCTCCGCCCCGTCGCCGCGCGCTTTTGGCCGCGACCGCCAAGCGTGTGTGACTGTGCCCGCTCACCTCTTCGCTGCGTTGGACCAAGGGAACCAAAAGTGTGCGGGTGTGTACACCCTGCGAGATGCTTAAGAAATCATGGGTTAAGAAATTCATAGTCTCAGAACTTGAGTAAAACCAAACAAATCCACTCAAATCTTAGGATTTACATTGAAACATTAAGAATAATCAAGACT